CAACTTTATATAGTATTCTATTTCACTATTTTAACTATTTTATAACAATCGAATAAGCTCTAGCTCTAGCGAAAACGAACATTAAGAATTAGCGGAATCCTTAGAATCCGAAAACGCCCCTAATCCTATTAACGAAGAAATCAGGCGGCGACTAGTTAATATAAGTAAGCCTCCCGCGCCCTCTACGCTAGAGGCGCTCTATACTGTCCTTATAAAAATAATAGAGAAGCAAACTAAGCTTCTCCGTTAAAACAAGCGTCGCCCGCTAGAGCTAGGGAGCAGGGCAAATCCCCTATTCGAAGGGTAGAACGCTATAGTACATATTAAGCGCTTTAAGGAAGGCTTAGTTAATTACGAGCTCGATAGAGAATCCGACTAGTATAAGATTCGGTCCTTTACGAGGACTATCTCCTCTAAGCTTTACCGAACCCTTAAAATCCTAGTTAGCTACCTAGAAAAGGACGACAAGTCTAATGCTAACTAGGAGACCTTTAAGATAGCCTTTATAAGGGAGTATCGGGAGCGCGATAGCCGTCGTATTAAAGGCAGTCGTACGTAGCTCGAGTCCCTCTGCTTAGTAAGGCGCACTAAGGATAACGACCTAAAGGGGTATGTCCGCGAGTTTGTCGAGTTAGTAGATAGCATCGAACAGAGTAACCTCGAAAACTCTTAGAGAATAAGGCTACTCCTCTAGGGGTTGCCGTAGCCTATAGCTTAGCGTATCTTCCGTCGCTATAAGCTTAGCGAGGCCGATCCTAAGAGCTTTAGGAAGTACAAAGAGGTCCTAGTATGTATTAAGGCCGATATTAATAGCGTAGCCGATGCGAGGAAGTTTATCTATAGCGAAGACCGGAATAACCTAGCGCAGGTTAGGAAAGAAGCCTTAGTAAGTAAGGGACCTAAGTTCCTTCCTAAATCGCAAAGTAGTCCTAAGACCGTAACTCCTACTATTACTAAGTACTCTTAGGATATCGCGGACTTAGCTGAATCCCTAGCCTAGCTAAACCTAAATGCGAAAGTATTATAGCGAGTTAGGGAGGTTATTAATACTACTATACTAGGCAATGTACTACTAGTCTACTAGGTTTCAGATCCTAACTACCCTAAAGCCCCTTTAGTAGATGTCTACGCTATACGGAAGATCTATTCTAACTTAGATAGTAAGTGCTAGAT